CCGGAAATGCCTCTGTGGTTTCGGCATTTCCATTCCGATGTTTTCCGTTTATAAACTCTTCCCTGCAGAAAACTTTGGTGGGTGTTTGTATTGGTAATTATATTTCCATTCATTAAACATAAAGTGTTTTCATTAAGTATAGCTTACATCCTCATAAGCTGTGCTTTTTCAGAACCACATGATTGGCTGGAGACTTCCAGTCATTGTTGGGGTGCATGCGACCTGTCTCAGGTGAAGTGCCATGGTCACTTTTATTCTCCAGCAACATTTGGCAGGGAGAGCTCTTTGAAAAGAAAAGAGAAAATACATAGAGTATATATACATATGTAGGTGTGTATATATTAAATGTGTATCATTCTGAAAGACTAAATCTTTCCTATACCGCAGCTGGAGGCTATTTTAGAGAGACTGACTATGAGTTCATCTTGGTGCTTCTGCGTTTTCTTCCTGATTGTGCTTGCAATCATGAAGCGAGAGATCCATTTTCACACATTTTAGTATACAGCGAAAACTTAACATTTGTTAGAACACGGTTTAATTTTATGATCATTGTGAATGACATTCTAGCACGACATTTCTTTTTGTTGAAAAAATTATTTTTTTAAGTTTTAGACTACGGATTAAATTGTTTTCCTGTGATTTTCCGAAAGTCATCCATAAAGGGAACCGTCTTTTGTCTTGGCAGGATGGCTAACGGGAATGAATGAAGCCTCTGCTGTAGTTACAGTCGCCCCGCAGAATTCCCCGCCCTCGGTCATCCGCCAGAAGGTGGTAAACGTTGCTAACCTGGGGGTTGTCCCTTCTGGCCAAGACAGTATACACAGGTAAGTTCACAAACAGATGACAGAGAAGTAACCTGGAGTGCACTTGACCCCCTGTGCTTCCCCTAGATGATCAATTTAAATATACAGCAACCGCAAACCAAAAAAGCCAAACCTATTGTCACTGAGATGATTCCAATTCCTTGTGACCCTCTAGGACAGACTAGAACAGCCCCAGAGGCTTTCCAAAGCTGTAAATCTTGACAGAAGCCGACCATCAATCACATCTTTCTCCCACAAAGCGGCTGACGGGTGTGAAGCACCAGTTACCCGTTAAAAGTACCAAACAAACCTGTGGAGCAAATGATTTGGCCAAATTTGGTTTGGGCTGAGACCCTCTTGCCTCTTTCATAGTATTCTGAATATACAGGTACGGCTTCCCCTCAAGACACAGGGAAGTGTGCCTGTGGGTTAGAATAGTGTGTGATGGCAGAAGAGTCCCTCTCTGAGTGGGACGTGGTTGAGAACCATGGTTCGCCGGATGAAGTGGATTTCCCAGGAAGAACTCTCCTCTAAAGCACTAGTTAGGCCGTCTTCTTAGGAAGGGGCACATTGGGGCGCCCCAGCTGCTCTCCTTTTGAAAGGTAACCCCTAAGACTGCGTCCAACTCATAAGGAACTAACACCAAGTCCCTGTGGGGACCACATGAGAATAGTTGGAGTTTGAACCTATCAAGTGACTCTACGTAAGGAAACGTCACTTTGTGGAGATCTGCTTCCGTAAAAATTGTAGCCAAGAAAGCCGGTGGGGTCGCCGTGAGTCAGAATCGACAGGCAGCAGCACGTTTGGTTTGGGTTTGAGTTTAGACGACCAGCCTGAGGCTAACTGCAGCTTCTGTGTGTTGGACCAGGAATTTTGTCACCACCAAGTGTCCAAAGCGGGAGGTCCAGTCATGTGTCCTGAAAGGAACTGAAACTGGTTGAGATCACTTATCCTACGATGGGGGCTTAAGATAAATATGAATGTAAAATCAATAAATACCCCTTAAACACGTGTGCTGCTGTTACCTAGTCCTCCGTGAGGTTAAGGGAACTCTTGGCAAGCCATCTTTAGGCCCCTCGATGACGTACTTCTGCCATTAACATGTATCACTGTTAGTGGCCCTTTTCTATGTAATTTTCACATACCACAGAAAATAAATTTGGAATCAAAGATAAGTCCTTCGGACGTTACGATTTTTGTTTTTTAATGTTAATTAGCACAGGCAAGAGAGACTCAGTTCTGGAGTGCTAGAGGTAAGCCAAGGAGTCCTCGAGGCACCGTGGGTAATCCCTTGGCTGCAGGGTTTCCATCCTCCACCTACACTGTAGGAGAACTGCCTTGGCAGTTCTGTAGGCAGTTCCGCTTCTACAGAGAGGGTTTCTCTGAGCGGGAGTAGGCCTGACGGCTGTGGTTTTAAAAGTGAGCTGGGATTTTATCCCAGCACTACCGTAACCAGGCTTGGTGATCTTGGACTACTTAATGGTATGTTCTTGTGGGCTTTCATAAGTGCCTCGGCTGTTCCTGAATTGGTGGCAGAGAAAAGAAGGTGGACTGAAACAACATTCTGTGCTAACTAGAACTATGGAAGACCATTGAACTTGACATCAGAAGAGCTGAGTTCAAGTGTTTGTCCTGCCACCATACAGAGTTGGCTAACTTGGTTCTGCTAATTGATATAAACCATATGTGCTGGTCAAATACATTTGCCTGTACACCCTCTTCTCTCTTGTTTTCATTTTCCAGGGTGATTTTCTTTGCCAGAAGCTGTTTTCTTGTATTTGGGGTTCTTTCTATTTGAAAACGCCAAAATGCCCTACACCAATTATAATCTTTGATTTGTGCATTATGAAATTCACCTTGAGATGTTCGGTGTGCACCAACACTGCAGACTTGTTTGAATACCTTCTTTTGTGATGCTCAAAACCAGGTAGCATCGCTTGTAGTGGAACTTAGTGTTTTTTTTGTTTGTGTGGATGTTTCTTAAAACTCTTCTGATAGCAAAGATGACCATACAGATTTTTTTTTCCTAGAAGGAGGAAAGGGTCAAATAATCTTCTCAGAACTGAAAAATATTCAAAACAAATTTCCTGTTGTCTAAAAAAGACAGTTAGAGTTAAACAATTCTCGTTAAAGCATAGTTTGCCTAGACATTGACTTGGTAGTTTGGAGTGTAATGTCTGTCTGAGTGATTTAAATTACAGTTAGAGCCAGTGCTCGGTTATCCGTGCTAATGCTGAGGAGCCACCCCGGGTTGGCTTTGGAGAGAGCCTCATCCCCACAGCCTTCATCTTGACGCACTTCGGTTATAGCCCTAGAGGTGGCAGCAGCAGCAGCTGCTGTTGGGTTCTTCTGTTCCTTGAGGTCAGGAGCTCAAGTTGACTGCAGGCCCAACTTGGTAAAGTACCTGTATATAAATAAGCAAGAATCTTAACTTTCCTCTCAGCTCCACCGTACTTAACTGAAGACATTCCACCTGGAAATCATGGCTTTTGTAGTTCTACAGTTTGACTGTAATCATGTTCTAAACTTCAGAACGCTTCAACCTAACAAATGCCTAGTTACGTATGTTATTCATACAGAAATTAATTAAAAGGTATTGTTATCTACAGGTATGAAATGTTTGCTCACTTTTTTCCTGCTCAGTAACACTTCCAAAAGCATTATTAATAAAAAGATGTACCAGATACTTTCCTTGATTTCACTTCAAATGAAATAACACTTATTGCTTAAATTATAATAACAAATTACACTTTATGACTATTGAATTGTGGCAATGTTTTTTAACTGTATAGTTCAGTATTAAATTACTCAGTGGGATTAATGAATTTTTGTATCTAAGATATTGTATATTATTTAATTGTTAATGATAAAATTGAAATCCCTGTGAGAGTTTAGAGTGGCCCCTTTTTTTCTGTGATAGTTGCTTTTCTGAGTTTATGAAGAACAAGACAAAGTTACTCTCATTCATGTTAATCAGAATATACAGTTTCTGTGTATTTAGAAGTACCAGGTGTTTTGAAAAGCATATTGAATATTAATATTCTAAGAAACTATAAATTTATATTCAATAATACAGTGAATAAATTTCCTACTGCCTGGTTCTGAAATCATTCCTACTATTCTTTAAAATCTGATTACTTTTTATATTTAATACCAGGTTTTAAAAATTTCTTAAGATTTCAAAAAAAAAGAAAAAATTTATTAATAAAAGAATTAGCGAAATAAATAAGTAAATAAAAGAATTAGCTAGCGAGGAAAATGTGAATTTTCATTAATATGCAGAAATAAGTAATTGTGTAGAGTTCAATTTTCATTGAATCCTTAATAAAAAATAGGCCTTAATGCAGCAACAGAAAAAGGGCCCTGGTTAAAAAAAAGTCAATTAAAGGAGCATGTTTTATGGACTTCACCCCAAAAACCAGCCCATGTCTTAAGACGTGCCGGTGGATAGTGGTGAAGCACTTGTGTGTGGACCGCAGGTTGGCAGTTGAAGCCCATCGGCTGGTCCCCCAGAGGAAAATGTGGCAGTCTGCCTCCATGAAGATTTCCCATCTTAAAAAACCTGTGGGGTAGGGAGTCACTGGCACGGAGTTGTTCTTGGTGGCCCTCTGTAGTTCGCCACTTTAAAGGGTCAACTAGCGATGCATAGCTACTGTCAGGGTACACCTGTTCCGTCCTAACTTTCTAAAGGACTGATAGCATCAGAAGGTCAGTCAATCAATGGAGTAGTGAAAGACTTAACCCTTATCTTCTTTTCTGTGGTGCTTGTTGTTTGAAAAGCATGCCTTTGGTTTAATAACTTGTTTTCATTATTAAATACAAAAATGTGGTGAAATGCAACCCCTCTCTCCAATTCACAGTAATGTTTATAAAAGGGTGAGGGGACAAGAGCTTGCCCTTGAAGGACAAAACCATCCTGTTGAGAACCTACAGTGTGGCCCAGTGTGCCAGTTTGCTGTTTTCCAAATGATGGTTACCAGCTGATAATTACAGTAGGGAAATAAGAAAGTTCCTTCAGCACCCAAAAGCTTTTTTTTTTTAATTAATTTTTTTTATTGTGAATTAGGTGGGGAATGATTTACATTTCAGGCCATCATCTCTACATTCACCAGTTCAAACCACTGTTCAAAACCTTTAAAGTTTTTTAAAGAGGCTCTATTTTTCAGTGCAATTGAATAGCTTCATTTGAGGTATTCATATTAAAATATGTAAGATATCTATGGAATATACTAGTCTAATTAGGTATTGAGTATTCATACTAAAATATGAAAGCGCTATATAGTGTACAAGTCTAAAAGTATATTGCTATATTGTTTAAGATGATACCAACAAAATATATACAAAGGACAGACTGGACAGCATTACACCAGGATATAAATGGACTTGAGGGGAAGGCGGGAGAAAGATGAGGCTCACTGCTCCCATATGGAGTTCGTCTTGGAAACCCCGAGGGGCATTTCTCTGTCCTGTAGAGTCGCTGTGAGTCAGAATTGAGTCAATAGCAGTGAATTTGGTTTTTGGAAAGGGGAAATGTCAAGATTTAATGTATTTTAAGGGAATAAACTAGAGACAGTAGCCACTAGATTCCTATATTCATCTAAGGCCAAGAAAAATTTTTTTGCTCCTTGAGAAAAAAAAAATCAAATTCAGTTATAGAGCAGGTTGATAGTTAACAACATGGACATGAACGGGCATTGACATTTGTTACTTGGCTTGTCCTCTGATAAAGCTGCTCGCGAGTCGTGTTGTTAGTTGCAGTTCCGCGGACTTGGGTTGACCCCATGTGTGCAGAGTAGACCTGTTCCATCGGGTTCCCAGAGCCATGACCCTCCAGAACAGCGGTTCTCAACCTGTGGGTCATGACCCCTTTGGGGTCAAACAACCCTTTCACAGGGGTCTCCCAATTCATAACAGTAGCAAAATTACAGTTATGAAGTAGCAATGAAAATGATTTTATGGTTGGGGCGGAGGGGGGGTTACCACAACATGAGGAGCTTTATTAAAGGGTTGCAGCATTAGGA